AAAACCTCTCAACAAAGAAAAGCACAGGACCACATAGTTTCACTGGTGAATTCTACCAAACATTTAAAGAAGATTTAACACCAATACTTGTAAAATTCTTCCAAAAAATTGAAGAGAAAGGAACACTTCCCAAGTCATTCTATGAAGTCACCATAATTTTGATACCAAAGCCAGATAAAGACATCACAAGAAGAGAAAATTATAGAATAATATAATCCTCAACAAAATACTAGCAAACTAAATCTAACAACATATAGAAAGGATTATACACAATGACCAAGAGAGATTTATCTGAGAAACACAAGGATGATTCAGCATAAGAAAGTCAATCAGTGTAGTTGATAGGAATGCAAGTTGGTATAGCCACTTTGGAAAACAGTGTGAAGGTTCCTCAAAAAATAAAAATAGAGCTACCTCATGACCCAGCAATTGCATTACTGGGTATTTACCTCAAAGACACAGATGCAGTGAAAAGAAGAGCCATATGCACCCCAATGTTCATAGCAGCAGTGTCCACAATAGCCAAACTGTGGAAGGAGCCCAGATGCCCTTCAACAGATGAATGGATAAAGAAGATGTGGTCCATATATACAATGGAATATTACTCAGCCATCAGAAAGGATGAATACCCAACTTTTGCATCAACATGGATGGGACTGGAGGAGATTATGCTAAGTGAAATAAGTCAAGCAGAGAAAATCAATTATCATATAGTTTCACTTATTTGTGGAACATAAGGAATAGAATGGAGGACATTAGGAGAAGGAAGGGAAAAATGAAGCAGGGGAAATTGGAGGGGGAGATGAACAATGAGAAACTATGGACTCCAAGAAACAAACTGAGGGTTCTAGAGGGGAAGGGGGTGGGGAGATAGGTTAGCCCGGTGATGGGTATTAAGGAAGGCACGTATTGCATGGAGCACTGAGTGTTATAAGCAAACAATGAATCATGGAACACTACATCAAAAACTATGTATTGTATGGTGACTAACATAACATAATAAAAAAATTAATTAAAAAAAGAAAATCAATCAGTGGAATATAGTATATTAACAGAATGAAATAGGGGGAGCGAGGGAGAGAGAGAGAGAATATCTCAATTGACAAAAAGTGCAAGAAAAAAGCATTTGACAAAATCCAACAACAGTTTCATGATAAAAACACTCAGAAAACTAGGAAGAGAAGGGAATTTTCTTAACATGATAAAGCCATATATGAAAAACCCACAGCAAGTATATCAATATTGATGTACTGAAAGATTTTCCCCTAAGATCAGGAACATGGCTACTTCTACCACTGCTATTCTACATTGTACTGGAAGTTCTAGCCAGAGCAATTAGGCAAGAAAAAGAAATAAAAGGCACTCAAATTTGAAAAAAAAAAAGCAAAGCAAAACAGCCTTTATTCATAGGTGACATAATCCTACATATAGAAAACTCCAAAGAATCGACTACAAAAAGTCACTAGAGCTAGTTTCAGCAACATTGCAGGGTGCAATTTCAATATTTAAAAATCAGTTGTATTTCTATATACCCAAAATGAACAATCTGAAAAGGAAATTAAGAAAACAGTTCCATTTACAACAGTATTCAAAAGAACAAAATACTTAGGAATAAGTTAAACCAAGGAGATGAAAGACTTGTACAATAAAAATTATACAACACAGTTGAAAGAAATTAAAGACCTAAATAAATGAGAAACCATCTTGTCTTCATGAATTAGAAAACTTAATATTGTTAAGATCTTGATACTACCCAATGCAATCTGCAGATTCAATGCACTATATCAAATTTCAATGGCTTTCTGCTAAAATGGAAAGGCCAATCCTCAATAAATGTATATGGAATTGCAAAGGACCCCATATAGTCAAACAATCCTGAAAAATAAAAGCAAAGTTAGAAGACTCACACTTTCTAATTTCCAAGCTTACTACAAAACTGCAATAATCTCTGGAATGGGACGGCTGCAGCTCAGACTGGGCAAAGACCCTATGCTTCCAGGCCCCTCGTGGTGATTCTCTCTCCAAATGGGGACTGCTGGTGCCTATTTCCTCTCTCTTTTCTTGGCTGACTCTGACAACAGCCTGGCCTTGAACTGGGGACATTCACTGCTCCATACTTTTATGAAGAAAGAATGAGATGGCCACAGGGAAACTCATAGAGACAGGTTGGAGTCAGGGCTTGGCAAGAAAAAGGGCAGGAGTCTCTGCTCTGGGAGCCTTTCCCCTCCTGCACTCCAAAGACTAAAGTCATGGTGTAGGGGAATGCCATAACTAGAAGGGCCCTTAGACAACAAAGTCTACCCAATTCCATTTTACAGATGGGGAGACAGATGCCTGGAAATGGGAACAAGTCATCTAAAGTCACACGACAGTTGAATTCAGTAAATCACAGGACTACTGGCCTGAGAGACATCTTAAATGTACACTAGCTTTCCTACCAACCCCCAGTTTAATGAAGACATGCTTTCAATAGCATTCCCAATGACAGTAATTGTTGGGCTGTGGTTTAAACCCTCAAAAACAGGGTGCTCAGGGTGTTTCTGGCCCCCTGAGGACAAGTGGGCTGATTGAGAAAGTTCCCTCTTATTCAGCAAGCCCTGAATAATCATGGTTAAGGCCCATCTCATGGTATTCATCCAGGGAGACCTGGGAAGTCTTACCTCCTGCCAGTCCTCACCTTACTCCCCTCTCGCCCTCCTCTGAGCACCTCTTCATTTTGCCTGTGGCTGGGATTTTGTTCTAGTAAAGAAGCAAAGGGCCTCCGTTTCCAGAAGCTGGCTGAACATACACTTTCCAAGTATCACTAACCTCTAAATGCAGCCGAATGGCTTTCCCCCCCAATCCCCCTTTGGGCAGAGAGCAAAAACGGAAAAATTTTAGGGTCCTTTGGTATATTTAAAGGGCCTGCACCCAGGGTGGCCTGAATGCAGTCTGAACTCACAGTGCCACACCTGAGGTGGTGGGAAAAGGTATTCAAGAGTCCCTGGGGTTCTGGACATTGTCAACACCTCCAGGGTGCACCTTTCCTTGGGCAAGGGCCCCTCTCTACTCTCCTTCTGCCTCATCTCTGGCAGCCTAGTGTCCCGCTTCCCTGGTCCCACACCTCCCCACTACCAACACTTCAATAACAAGCCCATTGTGTACTATAGTCTAAACCCCAACCCCACCATTTTACAGGTGGGAAAATTGAGGCCCCCAGAGGGATTGGGCTGCTGAAGATGTGTGGGTTCAGCACATGGAGCCTCTCAGGAGCCTGCAGGAATGCCATTCTCACTCATTCCTTCCATAGTCCTTGGCCTGACCTACTTTCACACTCTGGACATACCTTTTTGTTACCTGACTGTGACATGCCTAAGGTTGCGAAAGGCCTAAGGAAGCCTCTAAGTCTGAACCCCAGGAAGACCTGCTGATGGTCAGCTTACTGATTATCACCATCATTATCAGATGGCCTTTCTTGCCCATGCACATTAGCCCATAGGCCCATGTGTCCACCTCCACCCAGCCGCCAGCCCACCATGAGGGTGACACCAGGGCCATGGGACACACTAGGATCTGCCCCAGCTCAGCTCAACCTGCCTAGGCCACTGTTGTCCCTGGAGCACCCCACTGACACCAGATCTGCCTGGTGGGAGGTGGGGGAACAGCTGGCCTTTGCCCCCAGCCCACTCCCCTTGCCCTGTCCTGCTCTCTTTCCTTCATCTCCCTCCTCTGCTCATGGAACTTACTTATAAATCCTGAAAACCCAAACCCCCATAAATTCTCAATTCATTCTGCAGATATTTCCTGTGTTGGGGTTTTCAGCAGCATCTGCTGGTTTGAAGTTCCCTCTTTATTTGTCCTGGGGGCACCATTACTCTCAACTTTAGCAGTTTTCCTGCTCTGTAGTCCTTGCCAGACTCCATCGAAGGAAGAGAAAATTGGTGAAAGAATAATTATTATTATTGTTATAAATATATATTTCATTTTGGTTTCTTTTTTTTCCCTCTAGGCCTTGATGAGAATCCCAGGCAGAGGTTGGCAAAGGGACCTTCGTGGACCTCAGGGTACTGGGCTTGCCCTGTCAGAGCCTGGCATTTTGCCCTCCCAATAAAGGCATCTGCCAAAAAGCCATTCTCTGCTATTCTGCCCAACTGTACCCAGTTCTCCAGCAGCTTTATTCCCACCAAAAACTCCTGGCTCAAGTTCCCAAGTCTCCAGGAAGTCTCCTTAAGCAAGAAGCAAAGCACCTACTGCATATGAGACACTTTCAAATGTGTGGGCTTGATTATTTCTCACCATATCCTTATAAGTAGGGCATTTAAGTCCCATTTTACAGAGGGGGAGACAGAGACTCAGAAAGGAGAAGTTCATGGTTCAAGGAGATCCAGCTAGCAAGTGGAAGAGCTGGGATTTAAATCCAGGTCTGTCTGGCCCCAAAGCCAGTACTTGTTCCATTGGATGATATTCCCTTCCCTCCTATGAGTTCCTGAAGGACCTCTTTATGAACTCCAGTATGTCATGCTTGGAACCAAGCTGCCTTGGCTTTCTTTATACTTGTTTTAGGAATCCACATGCTTATATAGATTCTCAGAGTTTGAGAACCTTAAAGATCAATTAGTTTGAAGATTTAGTAATACAGAAAGGAAAACTGAGGCCCAGAGAGGACATGTAGCTGGCACATAGCACATTAATGGCTTTCTTTGTGAGATATAAGCCCTTTGAAGACAGGAACCCCTTACATTTATTATACATGTCTCCCCGACAGACACATACACAGTTGCACACAACATGGGATACAATATTCAACACAGATAAATAAAAACTGTTACTTGTCAAGTGACAGTGACTACTGGGCATCAGTTATCTTATTTAACTGTCACAGCAACCCTACCCACGCTAATTTCTAGGTAAGATGACTGAGGCCCAGAAAGGGGAAGTGGCTTGTTCTAGGTCACATAATAAGGAAATGACTGAACAGAATTAGAACTCGGGGTCTGACAGACTCTGAAGCCCATGTTTTTGCTGTCATTCCACACAACCACTTGAACAACATCACAACAGCTAACATTCCTTGAGTACGTACGATATGTGAAGGACTAAGGTAAGTGCTTTATACGAGTAGTGTAATTTAATCTTTACAATAACTTTATGAAGCTTCCTCATTTTACAGATGAGAAACAAGGGCTTAGAAAAGCTGAGAAACTTGGCCAAAGCCAAAAAAACTGGTGAGTGGCTGAGTGAGATTGATTTGATCCCAGGGTAATCTTAACATTCTATAGGAGATCTTCTTTATCTGCAGATAATTGATATGGGGAGGGGGGGAATTCCGCTTAAAGTGAATCTGTTTAAACTGGCATAGTAAAACATTTTTTTAAAAGTGATGGGGATTTTAGGACTACACTTTTTGTGATAAGCACTGGGTGTTGTATGGAAGTGTTGAATCATTATATTGTGCACCTGAAACTGACATGACACTCTATGTTAACTAACTGGAATTTGAATAAAAATTTTTTTAAAAAGTTTATTTGAATTTGTCACAGAAAACAAAATCAAAAATTATGATAAGCAGGTTATCTCATATTTCACAAATTTAGGCTGCAATTGCAGCTATATTCTATGTCTTAGGTCAGGCAAAGAATTACTCAAGCATTAGTTGATTTATAGTATAATTTTTCTGACAAAACTGAATGACAGCATGGCATAACATTTTTATTTTGATTTACATAGCATGATCATAAAGATCATTTTATAACAAAATAATCCAAGGACTTTGGCTTTCCCAAAGATATCTCTTAAGAATTTGTGAGTCAAATCATTATCCTTTGAAGCCTTTATCTTGTTCTCATCCTTGATGACTTGCTCTTCTTTAACTGTTAACTGATCTAATTCTGCCAGGCTCTCATGTGTTCATGGCTTTTCTGGGATTCCAGCAGTTTTCCAGTATCACTTTTGTTGACGTTTTGTTCACGAACTCCTGAATCTTTTCTCATATTTGCAGTTTCACTTTGCAAACTGATTGGCATTGAATTTGTTCTTTATTCTCTGATGTTTATAATACCCAACAACAAGAAAAGACTGATCTAGATGCTACTGTTAATCTGGGAGGGATGCCAAAGTAATTTAATGATTGGCCAGTTCACTAGTGAATATCTTAATGGTCTCTTGCTTTGCTACCCAACCTTCTGACTGCAAGGACTTGGAAAATGAATACTTGGATAATAAGGATTCCTTGTATAACCTCAGTAAGCTCTTAGCAATTAGCAAGTATTTAGCAATAAATAAGTACAGCAAGTAGGGAAGTACTATATTTATAACTCAGCTCTGTCACTTACTGGATATGTTACTTTGGGCAAGTTGCTCTATTACTTCATCTCAGTGAGCCTTAGTCTCCTTTTCTGTAGAATGGGAACATGGTAATATTTTAGTGTCCTTCCTTCCATCTCAAATAAGTAAACTAATCCAATCATGTATTTTCCATTTTCCTTGCTAGTAATTGGTTCAGAAATGAACATGTGGCTCAATCCTGGCCAACAGAACATGAAGGGAAGTCTATCTGGGGAATTCTGGGAAAGATTTCCTTCCTCCTAAGGAGAAAAAGAAAGTTTTTCCTTTCCTTCAGGTGATGTTATGCCTGGAAGTGATGTTTGGAACTACCTTAAGCATAACTTTTCCTGAGGATGGCAGAACCAAGAGATGAAAAGATCCTAGTTCTCTGAGGACATTGTTGAGTCATTGATTTTGCCATGCTTTAGGTCTGTTCTACCTCTAGACATTCTGTTATTTGAGGACAAATTTTCTAATTGTTTAAGCCAGTTTGTATCATGGTTTCTTTTACTTTCAGCTAAAAGCATCCTAATGGACACAACTACCTATTTCATATAGATTTTAGAATTAAATAAAATAACCCGTGTAAATGGGTTAGTTTAGCACTCAATACATATTACTTTTTAGTGTTTGAAATTTTAAAAAGTGCTTGCTTGTTTATTTGCTGTCAAAATGGAGTTTTCTTGTGACTCTTTTTTAGGGAAGGGACAAGGTAGCAAATGTACATCTTCTACATATCCTCATGATTAGGATTTTGCTGGAGTTGGGGTAAAGGAAGAGAGCCTTGGCTCTGTTTCAGAACAATTTACAGGATGATGTCCATCTGAGAAATCGGATGGGTTGAGTGCAACCTGGTTGTTTTGATACACTAATTGTGTCAGTAAAAAGGGGATAAAGAAATAAAGAAATGTGCAAATCTTCTGTGATCTAGAAATTTCCCAATCAGGATCTAGTGCATCTCTAGGAAGTTCCAGAGCTTTCAAAACAGGCCCTCAAGGAAGCATTTACAAAAACTAGAATTTTCCAGTCTAAAGAAAACAGGACTGAGGCCAGAGAAGTGTTCTCTATTGTTTATCTCAGATAGTGGCATTCATTCAGAAACCAGGAGTTATCTTTGACACCTTCTTTTCTCACCACCCTCACCCATATACAGTACAACTCCAAGTCCTACTAGGAGAACTCAATGAGCTAATAATGTCTGAAAGTAAGTTCTCAGGAGGTGCTCAGTTCGTATTAAGTGATCAATAGGTGTTAGCTGCTATCATTCACGGGCCACATACCACCCCGAGGATGGGTGCCAAGCTATTCCCTTGGTTTCCCTGAACATATTGATAAGGACCAACATTTTCACAAGGAAAATGAACAAGGAGAAGGAAAAGGAAATCCTATAATTTATAAAACTATATGCAACATAAAATAATCCATCTGGATTAACTCCAGCTTCATCACAGTGTAAAAGCTGATGAGCACCCCCCAACCCTGCCACTAGAAGTGATAGCACTACACTCCTGATGATCTGACACAACTCCAGTGTCACTTTTGCCTGGTATCTCTGCCCCAGCTCCCTGCTTATTTCAGCCATGTGGCTTGCCTGACCCAGGAAGTTGGACTCTTATCTCATTCTTGCACAAGTGACAACTTTCTAACCCTTCCATTTACAACCCCGCAGTAGTTCTGGTCAGTGAGACACAGCTAGCTCACAGCTGATTGGCAGAGCCATAGTGACTGAAGTCCTTGTGTCTCATAGAAAGAGGAGGCTTTTAGAAACCTAAAATGGCAGCCATGCTGTAGTAGATGATGTTGGTGCCTGGGCCAGATTCCCCTTTCCAACTGTACACCCAGTCCTAGCTGCTTTGAGTGCTGTGGCTAATGGCAAGACCTGAGACTTGCCCTTGGCTAATGGAAACCATCTAATCCAGAGTTGAATGGGAGGTGATACCTGCCTCCTATGGGGGTGGGGCAATAAGTGACTGATCCAGGAATAAAAAAATCCAGTCCCTTTCCTGAAGATGGTATAACTCTATGGTGTGATTCATACTCCAGAGCTCCCACATCCACCCTAGATCGGGTCAAGGCTAGACTTTTCCTAAAGACCGAATCCTTTCTGGGCTACTTCTTCCCTATCCTGATTTCCTGCCTCACTTTTGGACTTTTCTAGAAGGGCATGGCCTCAATTAATCACATGCCCTGATCCCAGTTTCAGGCTTCACTTCTCAGTAACCTGACCTAAGACACTCCCCAACAGCTAAAATTTATATAAACACTCACTAGAACAAGCTCCCATATCTTCCTCCAAAACAGGAGTATCTCTTACAGAAACCCACAGGTCCACGTCTAAAATAGAACCTGGCCTTAATCACATAGTAAGCCAGACATGCACACAACCTGCAGGAAGAAAGGCAGGCTTTCTTTACACTACTTCCCAGCCTTTTATAGGCTTCTCACAGTTGGATAAACTACTCCAGGCAAAAATGCCAGAGTAGGGGCACTTTCCTGAGAATAGCTGGTCACAAGGATGGAGAACGTATATTTCTCAGGTGATGGAGGAGAGAAATGTTAAGAGCTAGCCAGAGCCTCCAGGACAGGGATGATAGTTCCTCAGGCCAGCATCCTCTGAGTGCTGCATACATCTTTGGTAAATCGATGTTGACCTAAGTAATAGAGATCTGAGAAAATGGAGAGAAATAACGTTTGATTTAGCAGAAATGGGCCATCCATCCGTTTCAGTCAAAACTTTCTCAATCCAGGACGTCCCAGTGGTCTTGTCAGGACATTCTACGACTATCATCAGTCTCATGCAACTTCCAGGCACCTGACAATCTGCACCTCTTACTTAATAGATCATTATGCACATTTAACGTTTAACAATGGTCTGGTGGTGCTGTAATTGACATCTAGATTAGCCCTAAGAAAGGATTTCCTGACCAGCAGGAAAATGTTTAGTATTACCGAGTGGTTGGTTAATGTCATATTCCAAATAATGAAGATGTGAGCAACTCACCGCTTCCACCACTTTTCAAGTGTTAGCAATTTAAATCACAAAATCAATCAGAAAAGATAATATCGTTAAGGAAAAAGTACACTTACATCTCAACTGTAATGTTTTCTGAATGCTCCCTCCACCTTTGTCATTGGCCATCTGTCTGCTTAACATTTGCTATTTGAGAATGATTCTCCTCTAGGTCTCTGGTGGCCTTGCTTTGCTGCTTTCTCCACCCTTCCCTTCTCAGCAGCCAGTCCTATACAGAAGTAAGAATGACTCCAGTAAGAGGAATTTAGGTGGGACCTAAGAAATGATTTTCTGGTTTTAAAAGATGTGAAGCACTGAAAAAAAGCAGTGGAGGGAAGTTATGGAATCTCCATGGGGGTGGCCTGAGACAGTTCCAACCATCACAGATTCATGGAGTTTCAGGACTGCAATAAACTTAGGGGGCATCCAGTCTAACCTCTGATCCAGAATTTGAGCTTTCTCTGCAACATTTCGACCAAGTGTTCAGCTCAATCATGTTTGCACATTAGCAGTAATGGAGAGCTCACTCTCTCTCAAGACAACGAGTTTTATGACAAGACCGTTTGGATTCTGAGAAAGTTCTTCCTTGCACTGAGTCCACATCTGTCTCTCCATAACTACCACCTTTTATCTCAGAGCCGCATAAAACATACATACCTCTTTTGTGGTCTGAAGTCTCTGAAGTCACTCCTTCAGGCCTAATAGCCCTAGTGTCTCCACTGTTACTCGTGGACATGGGTTCTAACCTACTCCCCAACCTCCTCACT